TGCCGTGGTAGAATTCACACGGAGGACAGTCACCACCCCGGGCAGTGTCTTGATGCACTGTTTGCACTTTGTCTTGTTTTTTACACTTGTTTTACAATCGAGAGACTTTCTGTAAGTAAGAATTCCGTTGTACCAGTACCAGTTACATATGGCAATAAAGTTCAAGTTCAAGTTCAAGTTCAGAAACTGCAGTGGCTGGAAACCTTCCCCTGACTGTTATCATTATAAGAAGAAAGAAGTATTGATACAATAACAGCAAGATATTTCCACTTCACTTCTGTTTGTCATTCCCTTACAAAAGAGTCTTGAAATTAGAAAACCAAAAACAAAATTTACAATCAAAAATACAATAAAATGTATAATCATAAATTGGCTGTGGCAAGAATGTAACTTTATTTCACTTTAAAACCATGGATGATATTCATGACTACAGAATTTAAAAACATCAAAAACATAAATAATATCGTGAAAATAATTCATTAGGACAAGATGGTGTACACAGAATAACCCCTTTCATTTTTTTATTTTTGGATGTACATTATACATGGTAATATCCTTGGATTCACTCTCTCAATGGGAAGGTTTTCAAAATATGTAAAGGCTGTAATGCAGCCTTTGCTGAAATGGCTGTGGTGGTTTCATTTCATTTATGTTAGAAATTTATGTTAGAAAGAATATAGTTCTTTCACAGGACAATGGAATCCATTAAAGAATGTGGGGACTGTTATGAGGTCTGGAATTAATTCAATGAGATCTTAATCACAAATTTGTTTCGAATGGCATTTACCAATCACAATGTACATAAAGCTTGACAATGTTTGATCTACTTAGTTGGGCTTCAGTGAAGGCACTTCAAGTGAGGTTACCCCTTCAAAAGTAGATTGGCACATTTCTATTCAAACAAATCCATCAGACTAGCTATTCAACTCAGTAATGATAATGGAGACCACCCCAAAGATGATAGCAGCACATACATGGATGAAAGACATTCTTCAGGTGTTCCTAAATTGGCTTAAAACAGAGAAAGATGTTTTCAATTCTCTGGAGGCTGGAGATCAAGAGCAGTATTACAGGAATGTGTGCTTTCACACTTTTTTCAGTGCTGAGTTTGCAGAAGCCACTTTGATGAAGTATAAAATGAAGGATGTTGATAACCTATACAAGGTAAATTTTGAGAATTGTGTTAATAGAACTTATTCATCTCTCCAGGTTTAACTCAGTGCAGATGTATGCCACGCAATATAAGCATCTGCACTACCTTGAAGATAATTTCCTGTTTCTGTGGAACAACAATATTATGTAGTTTTATATCTATTAAGTAGTTGCTCAACATTTACCATTAAGTTTGGTTTTGGTATATTAAAAGCCAATATAAGAGTCACCCACAAAGGTCTGTACGTCTGTCTTCTTGATACAAACAATATACTGTAATTACAATTTGGAGGTGAACTGTCCACCACACAAAAAATATTTCCTTCATTGTTCTGCATCATACATTTTGAATGATAAACGATGACTAGATTTTTAATTCCCTGCTTAATTTATCACAAATACAAATTATTAATCTAAAATAAGTCTGCCAATTATTTGCATTTTTCATTTTTGAAAACTAAAAGCCAAGACAAAATCTTGAAAAAATTACTTGATGATATTTTGAGTGTTAATAATCATAAACATCAAAGCACTTCATATTTTGGGACTCATGGAAGGCTGAACAAGCTGCAGTGAATGGGGATCTCACCCCAGAAGTGAGATCTCACTCTTCTATGCCATCACAATGTTTGTGGGAGGTAATAGGTGTTCATGGGCTGCTGCTCCAGGAAAAATTGTATCCGGGTTGCTGTCACTGCCATCACGTGCCTGTTTATCTGCCAGTTCATGGTTTAATAAAGGCGTGCACTCACTGCTTCTATGCTGTTGGTTGGTGTTGTCATTCATTTTTAGAAATGCTATTCTGTCTTGATATAATTAAGAATTCATATTAAATCTTGTTTAGGCTTATTTTAAGTTACGGTGGATACTGCAAATTGGTGGTGGTGGAGGGGAGTCCCCATTACCTGTAAAGTGTTTAGAGTGGAGTGTCCAGAAAAGTGCTATACCTGTATAAGAGTAAGTAATTATTATTATTATTATTATTATTATTATTGTTATTGTTATTGTTATTGTTATTGTTATTGTTGTATTAATCATGCAATGTTGCAAAATTTAAGGATCTTTTATTTTAAAACATTTCTTCTTTTATGACCCATGTTAGCATGTGTCCACTGGTCTCAGAAGGTAACCATAACCCCATTCATCTTCTGAGATTTACACCTCAATGTGCCATTTTTTCCATGCTGCAGTCCTGAAATAAAACTCTGCATTTTTTAAGAATCTCGGAAGCACAACACGTAACCGTAACCGTACAGGTAACAGACCAATTAATTGAATGTGATGCAATTAGCGACAGGTAACTATAAAAAGATATTCACTAAGTGCTCATCTTCTACATTGACCAGACTGCAATCCAGGTGAAGATGAATTTCAGAAAGTGAAAAGGAGTATAAATGGTATAAATGTTGTACATTTAATCCTCATATTTGAATAAGGGTAAGTCAATACATAAATGTGTGAATTATCTACCAAATATACATTACAAATAGTAAAGGCTTTTGTTTCAACATTGTTGTCTTACTCATCTACAGCCATCAGCCACCCCTTCACAATATTATGGAGAACCCTCTTAATAAAATAATATGGTGGGTGCATGTGCCATTCCTGCTCTACCACTTGTACCTTGTGGTATTCATATAAGGTCTTATCTCTCAGAGCTTTCCTTGATCAGGTGAACCTGATGAAAATCAAATGGTGTGAAACCTGTCAAGTTGGGAGGGCATGTAAAAAATACATACCATTCTGCTTCATGGAGAAGAGTCCATGATTCATTAGAGAAGACTGGTATGTTCACAAGTCTATCTGTGATCATCTTTAAGCTTTTCAGGCACCCACCTAGCATACATTTTGTGGAAAACCAGACTTAACACACAAATTGCTCAACAAATGACTCACAGTTTTACTACACTAATTAAACATAGTAAAATTCTATTTACACTCATTTAAATACATGCCTAGTGTTTAACACAAATTTCCATTTATACTAACACTGAAAACCTTCTGACTTGAAATATTATTTGAATTTCTGTCTGTTGTGTTCTAGGTGAAAATTTTAGAATGAGAAGCAATGCATATTTGTCAATCCATCAAATTAACAGGTACAACCCTAGTTTCTTAAATAAGTTACTGTTAAGTTACTGTTAAAGGTCTTAGGTAAAGGGAAGTGGACAACAGAGAAAAAAGAAACAAAAATATTAAACTTACTATTCATTAGATTAAAACTTTTAATCATATTCTATTAACATTATAAACTACAGTGAAAACAACAGGAGAAAATGGTACATCCCTTGAAACAGTGAAAATAAAAATAAGCCATTTGAACTATAGCCTATACATAAATGCTGTATCTTTACCAAATTAAGACAGCAATGGTAATGGACCTTCTATTAGCAGATTCAGAGACCTAAGGAAATACAGGTATGTTGTGACATTAGTTTAAAAGAAATCTGGAAACAACTCAAAACAAAATTCTGATCTCAGAATGACAGTTATATATTTAAAAGTTAGGAATATGATACCCTGATGAGTAGTGCTGTTGCTGTGGTGCCTTCTGTGTGAAGTTTTGCATGTTTTTCTTGTGTCCATATGGGCTTTCTCCCTCAGACAAAAGACAACTAGTTAACAAGTGTGCCCAGTGATGGACTGACATTCCTTATAGGATATAGTCTCACCCTGTACCTGTCCATACTGGGGCTCTGGCTCATTGTGACCATAAGACAAGATATAGGAGATAATTTAAATTCACCCTATACTTCAAGATATAGGAACTCTTGTACATATGTTTTGAAAATCTTAGTATGTAACCCAACTCTATTTAAACTCCATTTATATTACAGTTAAATTCCCTTAGAAAAGTACTGAACAACCACTGATCATTCCATTTAGTCCCAACACATAGGGAATTAATCATTGTATTTCCAGAAACTGTATATTGTAGTAACAGTTTTGATAGCTATTGCATATACAGTAACTGTTGGATCCATCTGAAAACATAGGAGATTTCCTTTATAATAATCATGGATTAAAACACTGTATGTTGCCGTTATATGTAAATCTGCCTAGGAAATATATGCAATATGCAATTCATTTCACCAAAAGAAGGGAATAAGTATTGTTTTACATATTTTAAGAAAAACTTTTGATGCACAATGTTATTATTTAAACAACAATCCTGCTATTTTTTGCATAAATTCAATACTGTATTTTAGGACCTAGTGGGAGGATGTATTCTTATAACATATTGAACTTGAAGTCAAATGTCCTTATTACCCTTTCTGTAATGATTTAGAAACTGTTTTAATATCATACGAGCCTGTATAGAAAAACGGGGTTTCTGAAACTGAATCTGTGAATTTTGAGAATTTTGAAGGTTTGTCAGCCTTTGAACCTTACAGCACTGTATGTGTGTTTCTGTTGTCCTGGACTTGCCTATTTTAAAGATCGCATTACAACACTCCCAAGTGGCTGCCACAATACATAAGCTCTCACTAAAAAAGGTTAGTGTAATGAATTAATCTGTGATTTAGGCATACACTCTAAAGAGAGTATCAATTAAAAGTTAAGTTATCAATCTGTATGCAATGTTGAATTTCAGGGGTAAATGAAAGCAGGAAAGTGCCTTTATCCTACTGCAGTACTCATCCTTAACACCTAACTCAATACACACATCTGCACTATGCACTTTTTGCATAATCTACCTAAAAAATCTATGTTTTTTTTCATTCCTACTTATTGATTGTTCTGTTGTTATTATTTTTTATGCTTGTAATGTACTGTGTACATCGTGTGGTGTTGTCTGTTGTACCGTTTTGTCTCCTGTACTGTGTATGTCCCGAGAGATCAGCGGGAATTCCAATGTACATGTACATATGGCAATAAACTCCTTTATCTTCCTAAGTGAGTGATTTAAAAACAAAAAAGCATGCTGCAAATTAGATTTTTCAATACTTCTCTTTTTCAATATAATAATATATAAAAAATATCCTAAATTCTTTTACAATATTTCTTACAGTTGCTTGGAAGTAATTTATAATTATCCACGACAAGTTAACTGGAAAAAATAACAGTAATTCAAATAAAAATAAACTAATATTAACTCTGCAATCACACTTCTCTAAAATACAGAATGTATATCACAATCCTAACAATCAATATTTAGTTTAGGCTGATCTATGGACTAAGCCTGGAGTTTATTTGTTTAAATTATTTCAAATGTTCTAGGCTATAAATTTAAGAACTATATATATATAGATCAAAATTATAAAACATACATTCCAAATGTTAATTAATTTACACAGTTAAGGAGCATGACAGTACAATAAGTACATATACATTTTAAATCCCTGAATTTATTTTAATGGATCATTTTCAGGTTTTAGTTTTTTTTCTTGTTCATCTGAATTATTCTTGGTTTTCCAGAGATTTCCAAGAACTATTCCTAAAAACAACAGAAGTCCAAGATTACGATTAGATTCAAATTTCTCCCAGCAGTCTTCGGGCTTATTGATATCCAGTGAGTAAACCTGTGTAGTGAAAAATTAACATAGCAGGGCATTATAAAAAGAATATATTGTTCTGCAAATTATGCAAATATATATACAATTATGTATAGCTTGCATTTAAAGCTACCTTGCATACTCAAACAGCAGTGGATAGTGAAAACCATTTACCATGTACTTCATGGCATCTTTGTCTTACCACTTTCCTCATTTACCTAATTATGTTCACCTTGGCTTGTAATGCTGCCCTCCAGGCCTAGTTCTTTACACCCCTTGGTTAAACTAACCATTTGTCTATTATAGAACATAATCCTACCTGATACACTAGATGAATGGCAACCACAGAAAGCGCTCCATAATAGGGTAAGGTCTGGTGTGAGTTTATGCCAGTCAGAATAAGTCCTGACAACATGGCCACAGAGAACCCAGTCAGCCATGGCTTTGTCTGCTCTTGGAAACAGAGGGCAGTGGATTTCACACCCACAAGAATATCATCAGCTTTGTCCTGGAGAGAATTCACAGGTATATTTATCGTTAATATTGACATCTTGGAAAATTATAAGAATGAATTTAAATATCAGATTTATAAAATATTGCTGAAGAATAAAAAAATGCCAAAAAACAGTTACTCTTACAGATAATAAACTAGTAGTATAACAAGTTAACAATCACAAGAGAATCAATGCCAAGTCCTTTTCTCTGAAAAGCACTTGGCATGTTCTGCATGATTTATTTCCATGATACTATCCGAACATTTCTATTCTTTATTTTACAGATATGCTTATTTTCTACATTAGAAATATTAACATATAAGTAAAAGTACTGCATTAATGATCTTTGTTTAAAAAAAAGAAACACTAGTAAGTAACTTGCATACAGGTAACTGTGGACGTACAGTATTTCAGTCTTCTAAGTTTAAGTTTCAGTAAACTAGTAATGAGGAAACAGTGTCTTTTTAATCCATTACAGAACCAGATGAATCAACCGAGAATGAATTCTTATTCATAACGATGACGTGAAGAGTACCCATTCATAAAACAAACCTTTTATTGGAACAATCTGAGTGAGGTACAGGGGGTCCCAATAATAAGTAAAGGTTATGTTCCTATGTAATGCAATGTATAGCAAAACAACTTATAAAGGAGAATAAATATCAACATGGAAAAATGTTATTAGTTTCATACACACACAGCTTAGACAGATGCATATTCATGTGATGTACTAATAACACAATAAAAAATAGAAATAAGACAAGTTTGTTATTATTCTTGTAAACTGATATGATGTGCTTCCTGATGTAAGTTTATTTTCACAGTGAGACTCACACTAACATGTTGCGTCTTTTGAATATCACTTGACTTTGCACCAACATCTGATTTCCCAGTCATGGTTAAAGAATTACACAAATATATTTGTGGGTTCACTTTAAAACTGAAAGATAGTAAGGAGGATGATCTAAATGATTGTGGTTTTATGTTGTGGCATATTACCAGTGCCTGCCACCCAGCCACTATAATACTCAACTGTCCTATGTTGATGGCTTTTTATGCCTTAAAATATGGTATAAGTGCAGATCTGTGCATTGTGTAATGAATTTAGTTTCCATAATTAATATGACAACGTATATGCAAAGCAGTGAATATTGAGGCAACTGATAACAGCGATACTTTGTACCTTGCTCAAGGTTACAGCAAGTGTCTAACTCAGGATTTGATCCCCTAACCCCTCTGGTCTGGAGTCCAGTAGCCTAATCACTCTGCCACACTACTGCCCCAAATTCAGTAAGCAATCCAAAATGGGGAAGAAAAGAAAATGTTAAAATGCTGTACTGCAGCTTTCTTAAAACTGTATCACATATTATCATACCTGATGGGCATAGACAGTGTCGTATATTAAAGTCCACATAACTCCAGAAAAATAAAGAGGTAGGCAAACTGACCAATCACAGGAGCCCATCACAGCAGACCACCCTAGCAGGGCTCCCCAGTTAAATGTAAGGCCTGAAAACATATAAAACAGAACAAAATGAATTCACACTCATGAGTTTGCTTTAATGTAAGAAGATATAAAGATAGCTTATGTCACAAACATAACCGTTTTTATTTTCTGTACCAGAAAGTAATATATGAAATTATCAAAACACAAGTAGCACCCATGGTCTCCAGTATAATAGAATACCAGATGATCCAAATATTTTCCTTCAATATTCAGGTAATATTTATGTCTGTCAATATCCTCCTGCAATGTTCGGGGGTAACACTTGAGTGCTATCGATACTGGCAAAGGTTCTTTGTTTATTAATTACTTCACTGACATTTCTCTGGGTTTATTGCTTGAAATTGCTTTTACAATATGGTATTCACAGAGAGAACACCCCAAGTAAACAGTGTCTTCCCAGCAGCAGTAACAGAGGCAGTAGTGCCTCTTTCTGAGCTCAGTTTGAACCCTACAGTTTACACCGTAATAGAGGGATCAGCTATGCCTACAGATGACTTTGACTAGGATTCCAGAGGCAGCAGCACATAGTTAGGTATCACACATGGGTTTGTTTCAATAGCCTTCTTTCCATCCATGATCCCTATGAGGAGCCCGAGCCTGTTAGTTTACAATGTCAACCTCGTCATCGGCGTTCATAGAAACAGAAACCCAGAAACAAAAAACAGAAAGGATGGCAAATTACAAATAAAACCAGGCTATGATTTTCAATTATTTTCCCTGTCCTCACAAGTGTCTTGCATTAATTATTAGAATACAAAGAAGCAAATATTTCAAATGGAAACAAATATATACGTTCTTAAAAAGGTGACCACTGCATGTTATTTTTTAAAAGTTGGATTAAAAGCAGGTTTATGATGCATTTTTGTTCTTATAGACTATTCTTGCTTTACAAACTAAATATTCTAAAACAAAATCTAGCTAATATTATTCTCCACCATTCATCATGTTTTAAAAGCATGGCAGATATATATTAAAAGCTAGTCTCAAGAAGTATGTCAAATCTTAAAAAAAAATCACAATAGCCAGCTTGCATCTTGATATCTGCATTTGGATTGCACAATGGGGTGTTAACAGACAAATCTGAAATCATCATGGCTACTAAGGACTGCTAACCTATCCTTGTTCCAGTCTCAGCTGCCTTTTCTTTAATATGCTGCCTTTGTAAACCTCTGTGATATGTTTACTCAAATAACAGCGTATTATTTGTAAGTCATAAAGATTCATTTAAATTTAGAAGCTCTCATCTGGAATCTCAAATAACCTCTGTCTGATTTATTAACTTCCCATAATTTAAGAAACAGACACACCTGGTATAAGTTTAGTATAAAATGTAAACTTGTTGATAAATTAAGACTACAGTGAAAGACAACTTTGTATAATATGCCACATAAGGGGCTTCTTAAAAATTAATTGTGAAGCTTCAGAAACAACTTCTGTGTGAAACACCATATAATGGGTTCATAAAAACTTTGAATCTTTAAACATTTTCAGTGTAACAACTGGTACATGCAAACTAGTTCTAGAGTGGCAAATAACCCTTTCTCAGATTAGGTGTTCTTGATGCTTAATGAGAATGAGCTTTTACCAAATTATAAAAATCTGAAAAATGTTAATGGTATCATTACGGTTTTACTTGTATTAGATATATAGCTTTATAATAGCCATATAGAGTATGGGTAAAACAAAAACATAAAAACAAGAAGCAACCTGATATCTAAAAGATATATCTAACTCTTCTAGGTACATGGTTTTATTTCTGTAGACTTACCCAGTACGAGCTGTGGCCAATATGTAATTCTCTTCATTAAAGGGTAAGTGACAACCAGAGACAATGATGCAGCTCCAAGGGCAATACTGTAAGTCATGAGTAACAAGATCATAATGTGAAAAACAGTCTGGTGCATCTTTACTGTGTTAATTAATAACAGATGGCACCATACATTAAATACAACAGGAGCATGATGTCTACTTAAAGGGGATGAGTTAGAATGGCTTTGAATTATTTAACTTCACCCTGCAGCTCACAACCCACAATCCACTAAAGCTAAGCAGGTGTGAGCCTGGTCAGTACCTGGATGAGAGACCTCCTGGGAAAATCTAAGGATGCTGCTGGAAGTGGTGTTAGTGGGGCCAGTAGGGGGCACTCACCCTGCAGTTTGTGTGGGTCCTAATGCCCCCGTATAGTGATGGGGACACTATACTGTATAAACTGTATAAATAGGCGCCATCCTTCAGATGAGACATAAAACCAAGGTCCTGACTCTGTTGGTCATTAAAAATCCCAGGGCATTTCTTGAAAAGTTCCCAATGGCCTTTACCAATCATGGCCTCCTAATAATCCACATCTATGAACTAGCTTAGTCACTCTGTTCTCCTCCCCACTGATAGCTGATGTGTGGTGAGCGTTCTGGTGCATTATGGCTGCCGTCGCATCATCCAGGTGGAGGAGGGGAGTCCCCATTACCTGTAAAGCGTTTTGAGTGAAGTGTCCAGAAAAGCACTATGCAAGTGTAAGGAATTATTATTATTATGTATAAGAATTAAGATTTGTTTTTTTAATCATTTGTTCCACTCAATTATCAGTAGCAAATTACTTTTGGTACACAAATACTGTTTATATCTGATAAAACAGTGTTACTGGGACTAATTAAAACAGCAAGATGTTGTCCAAGTTGGCGCTCTAGATTTTACCACATGATTTTTACCATTGACTGATTTCACTACCGAGCGGACCTTTTTTGCATTACGTGTGTTGCTTCAGATTTTAAAACAAACAGTACTAGAATTTATATCTTCTTGATCAATAAGCTCTTGGTAATATTTCAAAGACTTTTTTACTGATCTTCTCTTACACTGTCTCACTGCTTCCTTTATTAATGGATGCCACCGTGTCTATCTTATTCAATATGACAGGGAAAAGCTTTAAGTTGTAGGTTTAGAATTTGTAACATTTTATTTAAAATATTACACAAGACAACTGAAATCCAACAAAGTAAAAACAACAAATGAAAGAAAAGGAAAACAGTTAAAGTGGCAGGGGATAAATCTGCCAAATACAAACCTTGGTGCAGTTGAACATAACTGTTACACCCAAACTATGTTTTCTTGCTGTACTACTTTATATAAATGAATTATCAATTCATTTCATATGCTGCTCTTAACTCACTGTAAAGTTGAAGATTGTTCATTCTGTTACATACTGTATACAGTATATGCTCTCATCATTGGTCAGATTAACTTGCTGTATGTCATGCTGATGAACCCTTACAGGAGCGGAACTGCTGTATGTTTCAGATCACTGTCCTACACAGAATGATGTGTAGATCCATAATGATCCCTAATTTTATTGTTTTTAAATAAACAGTAAGTAAATGCAGATCATAAATGTATACAAATAGACCAGTTTAAGAAAATACTACAGTCTGTTTGGTTATTGTCTGCTCTCTGCTATTGTGGGTTTATCCCTGAGCTGTAAAGTTTCAATGAACACCAGAGATTACAACAAATACTTAGTGATTTGAAATATACTGTGTTTCTCAGTAATTTCATCTTAAGTTTTAGTTGAGCAGTTTTTAATCATATTGTTTTATTTTCAAACACTTCTGGTTCATTTAGTTTCACTTCCTCTGCAAGCAATTATAACATTAGTAATTTCAATAATTTTTCTTTATACAGTATATAATACACACTGTTTCTTTGCAATGTAATGGAAAATGAAACTACTCATCATATAAACCCATTTCTAAGCACTGCTTATAGATTTTAATTTATCTTTTTGCACTAAATATATGAAGCAAGAAACTAAATTTCCCAGTATCCCACATATTCCAATCAGAGTGATGCATTTGTGGGTAAGTGGCAGAACCGTAACTTGCCAAGTGGGAGGCCCAGGTTCAATTTCCAGCCAATGCACAAGCTGTACTTACCTTGACAAACTGCCTCTTGGGGATATTAAAGACTCTCTCTGCAGTAATAAGATAAATATAATATATACTATATTGAAATTTTTGTTAATTTCAAAAATTAAACTAGGTTAAATATCACTAATAAATGTAGTAATAACTCAATTATAAACAAAATGAATCACCATTTGCATTAAAATTGTAATTGGTTTGAATAATTGGATAAAATTCACCAGATTTTCATTCAATTAATACACTCATAATAAATAAAACATAGGTTGTGAGGATAAAAGCATGTTTATGTTGTTACAGTGAAAAGCAGAGCTCATTAACTTTTTCCCAAGTACAAACCTTCAAAGTGTAGAGCTAGCAAACATAGGAATTTTGCATATGAGGGAATTAAGAAAGGCTCTCAGGAATCTAGGGACAATAGTCAAACATCTAGCTAGTGTCAGCATTTGTAGTTCTCAGCACCAAATTAAGTGTTTATTTACATCTGAGACTCAATGACCAAAAGAATCATCTGGTTTATCTTGGTTAATTAAGTTCTGGACAAATGATTAGTAGTCAGAAATAGAAAAATAGAAAACAAAGCATGTGCCAGGTGAGAGTCCTTGTCCAGATCATCCATAAGACCAAATTCAGTGGTCTTTTAAGTACTTGAAGAATGCATCCATTATTTGATCTGTTAAGGAAACTTCTGATATCCTGAATGAAGGATCCGTAGGTTAAAACTGGCCGCTTCTGGTTTGTGGATGAATGTTAGCATAGAGGGATAGGTTTCCCATTCACTTTGCAGCAACCTGATTCACATATAGAGAGATTTAACTGTAGGTCTTATTCTAGTTGGTGTGGAAGGCAGATTTATCTCTCCTGTGTGCCTGTGTAAGTGTTATATGTGATATGAACACTTGGTAGCAGTCTAGGGTTTTTCTGGTTGGTCAGAACATAGGCATCTGGGAAGCCTAGTTTGTAAATAGAGGAACTTGTGGGTTGTATGCTGTTTAGCTTGTCACTGACGTGGTCACTTATGTATAAACATAACTTTTCCCCTCATAGATTTACTATTTGGAACAACAGATATATAAAAGTTAGAAATAAAACCTGATTTTTTTTTAAACTGGGTCAAGAATGGTATAATTTGGATTAAACAATTAATCAATGCCGATTGTGAAATATATAATTACACCGAGTTTGTTAATAGATACAATATTCCTATTAATTTTGATCAGTATTTCACTGTAATTAACGCGATTTCTGGGGAAATATTAACTCTTTTAAGGAGTTGTAATAGTAGTCCTTTAGAAACATTGGAAGAATTTACAGTTCACATTAGACTACAAGGAAAGGATATTCTGAGTTGTGAATGTAATAACCAATTTTTGAGATCCCTGTTAAAAAATGATAATTAACTTGCGATTACAATATATTGGAATTCCGCATTTATAATAATATTAATAATAATGATAATAATGATAATAAACTTTATTTTATATAGCTCCTTTAAAGGTGGCTTCTCAAAGCACTTTACAGGATGACAATAACACTAAATAAGAAGAGTATAACAATAAATAAGGGGAATACACAAGATAAGACACAATTACAATATATAGAGGATACCGTGGATGGTGGTACTAAGAAGAGCAGAGGGGTGAAGAATGGAACCAGTTAAGTAAAGGCTTTTCTGAAGAAGAGGGCTTTGAGTCTGGATTTGAAGGAGTTTAGAGAAGGTGACTCTCTGATATCCTTGGGCAAAGAGTTCCAGAGCTTGGGGGCATAACAGGAGAAGGCCCTGTCACCCATACAATGTAGACGGGCTTGGGGGACAGTAAGGAATGCAGAATTTGAAGAGTGGAGGTTGCGAGGTGGGGAGTAGGGCGATAATAGTTCAGACAGGTACTGAAGTGCCAAGCCATGCAGAGCCTTATAGGTGAGCATGAGGATTTTAAAGTCTACACGGAATTTGACCGGAAGTCAGTGCAAGGACTCCAGGACAGGAGTAATGTGAATACTTGCACTAGACCTGGTCAGGATTCTGGCTGCTGAATTTTGGACATACTGCAGTTTGTTAAACGCATTGTTTAACAAACATGTTTAGAAAACGCATTGATTGGACAAAAATGTGGATGATGCCCAATAAATATTGTATAACCAATAAGGTTAAGGAGGTTTCATACAAAATAATTCATCATATTTACCCAGTTAAGACTCTTGTTACCCAGTGATTTAAAATTAATATAGATGACAAATGTGGTTTTTTTTACAATAGCCCTGAAACTATTCATCATTTGTTTTGGTTATGTCCTAGGGTAAACATTTCCTGGATTAAGTTGCAGACTTATATTACATAAGAAACTAATATTGATATTTGTTTAGATGAAAAAGATGTTATGTTAAGTTTCAGCCCCATTGAAAACAAACTGAAAATTTCATTTGTAATAAATTTAATTATAATTATAATAATTATTTCCGTTCTTATATACATAAAATGAAGTGGTTTTGGAAGTACCCTGTGTTTGAGCATTTTAAAATGGAAGTAAGGGGGTATTTGCAGACTATTTCGAAGTGCAAAAATATGAAAGCAGTGTGGACATTATTTTTATTTAATTTATTTAATTTTAACTTGAATTTATGTAGTAATATGTACCCCTGACAATATTTTTGTCTTGAATTGTTTGTACTCTTGTTTGTATTGTAATTTTTGTTCTTTTGTTAAGCATAAATATTGTTTTTTTAAAAAGTACTTTAATGATTAACTGTGCCATCTGGCTGTTTTAGAGAGTAGTGCAGTCCTGTGCAGTCTAGATTAGTTCTAGATGGCTGTTTCTGTGTATATCCATAACTCTTATCACTTAACTCCCTAAATGCTCTAAAATGGAAGATTTTAATATAACATTAAATAGATTTCACTCTCCACCCAACCCCCAAGAATGCAATTTTTGACTGCATTAATACCTGTCAGTAACTGGGGCTCAGTGGTTTAGTTACTTCAGACACTGTCCTTACAAAGTGCGGTCCTAAGGATTTGCTTACATGAAAACTGCAAGCAAGTAATACCAGAGGCTTTGCTGCTGGCTTACAACAAAAATATTTACAAAATGTACACCCTTTATAAATCAAAGAAAACACTAATTAAACCTATGTTAGAATGTGTATTTCTACATTCTTCACCAATAACCTAAACACAATGGTTAAAAATGCTAAAAGGAATATTTAATTATATTTGCATTAGTTTATTACCTGCTTAAAACCCTGTGCTATGAGTGACTGTATATTGTCTTAGCTGAATTTTCCATTTGTAAATCAATAGCCATGTAAAAATATATTTTAAAGGCTGATCATCAAGAAAGGCACAAGGGAAGCAAAATAACATTGTAACACATTGAAGAGATAAAGATGCACTATACTATATAACATCCCATCACATTCCCTGTTTCACATTCACCTTTAATAAGTCTTGCTTGAAAAATGTTCTAAGCACAAAGAACATCAGAGAATCACACAGAACACAAAAAGATATGTATGACACATGAAATAGCATGTGTGCAGCTCTTATAAGTCAATCCTTTAAAATGAAGAATGAGGTGTACCTGTAGAAATTCAAGCAAAGAAGGATGCCTAGAGCTGCACTGAGCTGCGCCCCCAGGAACATGAAGGCCTGCAGCTGGGTGATCTCTCCTGAGGCAATAGGGCGACTAACAGTCCGGGAAACCTAAACAGAGTGACAACAGGTTGGATCACTCTAACATCCAACAATTAGAAAAAACACAGCAGTGTAAAGTACACAAACATTGAATAATACACAACATTTCTGCAGCATTTTAAACCTCGAATAGCAGGGAAATCTATAAACTACATGTTAAAAGAATGTGGGACATACATCTAGAAACTGAACATCAAAAGATACATCACTCTATTTATGCACTTGTGTTATTAGACATAGCTTACAGATTTTGGATGTTGATTAAATATTTTTGCATCATTATGCTTAATCATTCATGACTGATCATGAAACAATTGAGTTTATGGCAAAAGCGCTAAATCAACTCATTGGTGAGCTAGAGTTAATTTGGCACAGGTGACGAGCTTATTGAACCTCTTGAAAAACAAGAAAGAAGGAAACAATATGTGCTAACAAAAGAATTATAGCTTCATATAATTGGTATGCTGGTGGCTGGACTAAATCAGCATAATGTTGCTGATTTAGTCCAGCCAGTTTGGGATGACAACGAGTATAACGGTCTATATATTCTGCATGAGTGTTTACTTATTATGGAACTCCACTTATCGGGATTGACAGCAACCTATTTTGATCAAGTCAAGTGACCTCACTAGCTGCCCTTCCTGCATGCTAACCCTGATGCTATAGTATTCCAGCAATAATAATAGTAACACAGTCTCATGCTGCTCAAATGTGTATATATTTTTTTCTTATAAAAAATTTGAAAAATAAAAAATCTAAAATAAATATGCCATGGTCACCAGAGGCCTACTGAACACCTGTGGGATGAGCTAGGATGATGAGGTATGTAGGGCTTAGAGACCAGTAAACTGACATAAGACTTGTTGTTGAGCCTAGCCTGTCTCTAGCCTGTGACTTCTATAAGCTGATTGATAAATGTCAATCAAAATAATGAATTTACTTATGTAACATGTATTCAATCAAATATCAGTGCACCTTGTCAAAAAGATTGTAATTTTCCTGATAAGTTTGTGAATTTGCCAGGACTTATAGTGATAATTTTTATCTGATGCTCAGTACAGTATTATGTATAAACTATTCATTTGTAAAACTGATCTTTTTGATCTTGGTATCTTAAAATTATGTTGGTTTGGATTCCTAGATGGAACAAAAAAACAAAACAATATTTCAATAATATGATAAGACTACAATTATACACCAAGACACTATTAAATGGAAAGTCCACGGTTAAAACAACAGCAATGTGTGAAAATGGTAAATTTGCCAAGGTATCCTGCCATAAGAGTGGTATCAGCCGTTTCTGATCACATAGATTTGCCAATTACCTGCTGTATACTGAAACTTGTTAACTAGGCAAAAGTGAACAAAATAAGTCAGGTAATAAACAGCACCAATTAATTATTGAAATAACAAAACTGTTTTTTTCAGAATTCATTATTTTGTAAAACCCAATGATCCAAATTATATGAATCTTAAGATACCTTCTTATCAAAGTCCTTGTCCCACATGTCATTAATAGTACAGCCAGCACCCCTCATCATAAGTGCTCCAGTACCAAACAGTGCCAGCATGAAGAGGTCTGGGAGACAGCCAGGGTCTGCTGCTAGCGCAATGCTCCAAGTGCAAGGTAGGTACAACAGCCATGTTCCTGTACAAGACAACCCAATTAAATACCACATACCAACAATTAGCCTAAGCCAGCACACCAATACAGATAAGTAAACCTGTTCATGTTTATATACTAGTTTTCTCTTAAAAATATACAGACATCCGAAAAGAGTTAACAGTTGACGATCAAAGAAAATGTTCTCTAAGATGTGTGGAATACAACTTACATACACTTCTTATGAGTCACTAATAACCTTTTATGAAGTGTAGAACCCTTATTGTGACTGTAATACACTACCCAATTAAAAATATAAAAATAAAAGAGAAACAGTGTTACATTCCAGTCCCAAACCCTCAATAACCTGGAACATAAAAGAGTATAGAATGTGCTCAAATTATGAAAAAAAATAGGCATTTCAGTAATGGCTGCTTAAAATGAGCTAAACCTGAATAGTAAAATAATACTATATCTGTAATATAACAGCTGCACTAATGATACAATAGCCTGAGAAATTCTCAAATGAGTGGAGAATAATTTTTTCTTAAAATAAATTACTGATCAAGATCTGCAGATGATGTGTATGTATTGTTGCATTATGTATATTTAAATTTATTTTTTAAAAGGGTAAAAAGGTATTTGCACTCACCAATAGGTTTGTCTAGCCTCATAAGTCTGAGGTAAGGCTGCACAGACACTGGTGCTGAGTTCACAATGCCAGCTGCTGACAAGCTGAACTGTCTTCTCCAGCTTGTCAGAGTGTGCATCTCAGACTGTAGAATTTGACAATGTCTTTGTGTATGAAATGCTCCATTCATATAAACTGTGTATGAAGAGAAGGACACAGGAATTGCCTGCTTCCATCTCCAATGGCACTGCTTTGAAAAACTTGGGAAGCACGATCCAGGAAAAATTATCTTCCAGGAGAGCTGGGCTAGTTGGGTTGAAGATTTGAGAAAGATCATGATGTCAGTCCTTCACAAAGGAAAGCTGTACCTTAAAGAGAAGAAATATATGCCTATTAAAAAGTATTATGTAATCAAATCAGGGATGGATATATTTAAATGACGAAATTATTTTTTTGGAGATATTACTCACACTGTAGCTTGAAATGGTAAAGTTGCTAATTACTGTTTCCTTGCTAATTTATGTCAGAACACCAGCTACAGAAAACACCTTATCTGATTCTTTCCATTAACATTGAGTGAGTACAAGAGTTAAGAGAACAATTAGGAAACTCTGATCATAATACAGGATGTTTTTAAATAGATCTAGAATACATATATGAATACAAACAAGAGCAAAAACTGTTCAAACAGATATTGTTTTAATTATATGAATCAAGCCTTAGCCTTATACCGGATTTGGACAAGTATTTGAGCCCTAGCTTTTCTATTCACATTCCCTCTTTACATGATTTGTCTAAATTTAGCTTAGTTAATTCAGTTCATCTTACAAACATTAACAGCTGCAAAACAACTTTTGTTGCCTAGATCCCATCCCTACCTCTTTATTGAAAGATTTATTGTAAATTGAATATTTGTTACACTTGCCTCCCAGACATCTGCCCATTAACTGTCAACATCATCAACAGTTCCCTTTTCATGGGTTCCTAATGCCTTAAAGAATCTATCACTATACTGAAGAAACCTGGCTTGGACAATAATGATGAACTACAGACCAATCTCTAATTTATCATTTCTATCTAAAGAATTTGTAGATGCACATCAACTACAGGAATATGTGATAGCTAATGACATGTTTGAGACTGAAATGGCTTGTTTGAGCCATTTCAGACTCGCGTCCCCTCAAATCATAGCACTGAGACTGCTCTTGTCAGGGTTGTGAATGATTAATTTATTGCCTCTGACTCGGGGGCTATAAGCATCCTTATGCTCCTTGATATTAATGTGGCTTTTGATACAGTATATAATTCGATGTGCAAACATTCTTGTCTATCAATGGTACTATATTTAACTGGTTCTGCCTTTATCTGACTGTCAGGCTGCATTTTGTTTCTCTTGGTCATCATAAAGCCCCATGGCCCCAGTTAATTACAGTGTGCCACAGGGTTCAGTCATGGAATCTAAACTCAATGCAGGCTAGTATGAAACAATCATCTTAAGCATTTTCTATTCATTGTCATTCTCAGACATTAAATTCAATGTTGTCCTGAAAAGGCTTCAAAGATCAGAGATAGCCAGATATCTTTAGTACCTTCTGGGAAATTGTAGTCATTCTCAAGAACCGTAAAGTGCATAAAATTACTGGACAAAATACCCTATAGTTAACTGCCAGGAATCTGAATAACACTTCTGCAGCACATTTGAAAGAATCCAGAAAAATTAAAAAAGTGATGCTATATTCTGCAACTGACATATTTATTCTGAACAGTTTTGAGTTCTGTTTTTGGGAGGGGGCGTTTTGGGCATTTTTACATTTGCCAATATGCATTTACATGTACTGCAAAAACTTTCTTAATAAGCAAAATTAATATTTTCTGATAGGTTTGCAATTTACAGTAAGTTTGCTTCTCAACGGATGTAAAATCAATAGACACACTTTTAGATGTAATTTACATTTTAAGACATACCTTCCCAAACAATTTCAGGTCTTTTTTATGCAGATTGTCTGCTATAATAATAATGATGTTTATAAAAGTAAATTGAAATATATGCTATAAATTATATAACATGCCCTTTGGTATTTGGTGCGTTGTGATGGAGACTTGATACCCCAGACAATTCCATAACGGACACTCAATGGGGTTAAGATTAAGGAACAATGTGCCAGTTGCATTAAATAAATGACTTTTCCAACGAAAAGACTACAATAAATCCGGAAAGGGAAATTGTTTGTGTTCGTGGCAATTTTCCAAACAATAGACATTCTTCCTTTAAGTTTTTTTTAACTCTCTTCATACAGTAACTTACATTTTACATATGCAACATTCCTGAAAACAACGAGCTTTTTGTGGGGGTTACTTACTGACCGACAGTTTTCACTGGGTAAATTCACGAACCAAGCTCTCAAGTTAGAAATTCCCAGCCGATATGTAGATTTAAAGCAAGATTTAAAATAAATCATAAAACAAACAGATTTTATAACGATACATTATTTCCAAAGTTATTGAATTTACAATGAATACAAAGCATTTAACTGTCTGTTTGCGTTCTTCCTATTTTGTGTAACTGCTTACTGGTCCCCTGAGCAACACTTCCCATTACTTTGGTTCTGTTTTTTCATTTCTTAAAATAATTTTGTACTCTTATTTAAAAAAATAAATGAAAAAAGAACGCTTCAGAGTATTACGTATATACGTATATTATATTATAACTTCTATTGCACAGTTTAAAGCACAATACATCTGGTATTGTAAAACAGTCATGAAATCCAGTACAGTGGTTTGTTCAGTGCACCCTCTGTCGGACATCACCGATAAAAAAGAACTGATGGGAACTACAAAAAAGTAATGAAAGTACAGTATTAAAAACAATCAATTTCATTATCTCCTTGTGGAATCAGTTGTGACATCATGGTTTACTTGTGCTGTGACAGTGTTGTGTGGGGAAAATAAGATGGAATAAAATTTTCTTTTCTAAAAAAGGACTTCGATCTCCCAGTGACATAATCTATATGACTTCAAAGGAGGGTAGCACAGTGGCCAAGTATTATGCTTTGCTGTCTCACAGTGATAGGGCCCTGAGTTCAATTCCAGACCTGGAATCCTGTGTGGAGATTGAATGTTTCCCCCATGGTCTTGTGGATGTCTTCCATGGTCCAAAAAGAAAGTGGTAGGTTAACTGGCTGCAAGGAAAATTGGCCCTAGGCGTGAGTGTGTGTGTTTTTGTCTGCCCTGTGATGGCCTGGCTTCCTGTGAAGGGTATACCCTGTCTTGCACAGAAAAGTAGAATATGGACGGATGAAAATATAGCCTTTTGCATAAAGGCAAATTGAAATATTTGGAGTAGCCACTTTGAAAGTAATGACTGTCTTGGAATAGCCATTTACAGTGCCTTCAGAAGTATTGAGACCTTTCCTAAGGTGTGCTATTTTGTGAAATCTTTCCTATGAAAGGTTATTTTGGGAAATTATGCACTACATTTAAACGTAATATTTTTTCAAAAAATTAATGCTAAAACTATGGTATTCTAAGTGTTAAGATAAGCTATGGTAAACATCAGATAAACAGGAAACAAGTAATAACTTGATTGAATAACTATTACAGACCCATGAAGTCAATATCTGGTGGAAACACCTTTGGGAGCAAATACAACCACTCTCTGAACTTTGTTACATTAACTTGTGTAACCATTTTCTTGGCAAATTTGCTCAAGTTCTCTCAAGTCAGGACACGCTTTTTTATTCTTAAACCAATCCAGTGTAATCAGCATACTTAGGAAGACAAATACATACCTGTTGTGTGGAATGTTTACAGAGATAATATGTGACATTTCAGAGAAACTGGAAGGTATGGATAACCATTGTTAAAACTACTATTCTATTATGTGGGTTCTAACACATATCTAATACATTTCTCTCAAAATATTCATGGTAACTGAGAGATGGTCTTAAGTATAAATGCTGCTTGTAAATGTTTGGATGCAGACCATGACAGGAAATTGCACTTTTTAGACATTTATTAAAACACATTTTCAAAGTTTGCTAAATTGCACTATGACACCATGCCCCCCTACGCTTTGGATCATTGTCCTACTGAAAAGTACATTTTTTGGCCAATCCTTTTACAGGGATTTCAGGATACCTATTCAAGAAAAACATCAGAAGCCAAAATTATCTTTAAACATAGTGTGAGACATATTTGGGTTGTTCAGTGTTCAGTGTGTGGTAATTTGTTTTTTGCGAGTGAAGTTTTATTTAATCTCTGACCCAGGGAAAAGTGTGGTGTGGACGGTTGAGGAGAGAATGCAGGCTTGCGCTGTGTCCGTTATTTTGATTCTTTGTCTTTTTTCTGGCTTGGTCGGCTAGTTTATTTTATTTTGTTTTATCAATAAAGATTGATAATCGGCCAGTGAAAGCTCTGTTGTCCTTCACATGAATGCCTGAAACATTTTACCGAACCCAGGATTTTACACTAGCATCTCCCTTCTCTCAATAACAGCCTAATTTATTGCTTTCTGTAAACCTCTCCATTCAATTACATATTTAAACACCTTTATTTGACACCTCTCCCCCTGATCACCTTTCCTGTCCATACATTTTTTTACCTGTACGTTCATTCTTAACTACTGTACTCTATGTTTTGCTCTCCTGTGCTTTACATTCTCACCACATTACTCTCTCTCACACTTGAATAAGGCCCAACAGCCAACACACTGGGTTTCTCCTTTCTATCTTTCAGCATGAAATTAACTGTGACTTGTTCCTTAGAAGCCAATGCATGCAGATGCAGCTTCCCACTTGGATATCACAAAACCTTCTGCCATGTGCTTGTAGTATCACTTTGTTGCAGTGCTTTGCTGCAAATCATATGTGAGATTTGAGGTGTTTTTGTTTTAGTTCCTTGAAATCCTCCTTTGTGCACCAACCAGGATACTGTTGACCCATGGACATTTTCTCCCATCTTAGCCACTAAACTCCATAACTTAAACTCATGATTGGCCTCAGAATGGAATCCAGTTTCTTTCTTGCCTGGCTGCACAATTGTTTGATTTTACCATATTCAGATATCATCTGTGTCTTTAAAACGTTATCCCTCCATTGTTTTTAAAGCTCCTTGATCTTCATAATTGAATCTTTGCTTAAAATTCACTACTCTTCAGCAGCCATATCACCCTGCAAGTTATAACTGGTAACCCATTGAAACTAAGGAGATGTGAGCCTGGTCAGTTCCTGGATGTGAGACCTGGAAAAAAGGTTGCTGCTGGAAAAGGTGTTAGTGTGTTCAGTAGAGGGTGCTCACCCTGCAGTATGTTTGGGTCCTAATGCCCCTAGTGTAGTGATGGGGACACTATACTGTAAAAACAAGCTATCCTTCAGATTAAAACCGAGGTCCTGACACTCTGTGGTCATTAAAAATTCCAGGGTGTTTATCGAAAACAGTAGGGGTGTAACCCCGACATCCTAGCCAAACTTCCCATTGGCCTTCATCAAACATGGTCTCCTAGTAATCCCCATCTATGAATTGGCTTAATCACTCTGTTCTCCTCCCCACTGATAGCTTATGTGTGGTGAGCATTCTGGTGCACTTTGGCTGCACATTGGTGGTAGTGGAGGGGAGTTCCAATTACTTGTAAAGCACTTTGAGTGGAGTGTCCAGAAAAGCACTATTTAATTATAATAATAATAAACTTTATTTTAGATAGATCCTTTAAAGGTGGCTTCTCAAAGTGCTTTACAGAATGACAAACAACAATAAGTAAAAAGAATACACAAGATAAAACACAATTACAATATACAGTGGAGACCGTACTGGATGCTGGTACTAAGAAAAGCAGAGGGGTGAAGAATGGAGTCTGGATTTGAAGGAGTTTCGAGAAGGTGACTCTCTGATATCCTTGGGCAGAGAGTTCCAGAGCTTGGGGGCATAATGGGAGAAGGCCAGAATTAGAAGAGCAAAGGTTTCTGAGGTGGGGAGTAGGGCGATATTAGTTCAGACAGGTACTGAGGTGCCAAGCCATGCAGAGGCTTATAGGTGAGCATGAGAATTTTAAAGTCCACATGGGATTTGACAGGAAGCCAGTGCAAGGACTCCAGGATAGGAGTAATGTGATCACTTGCAATAGACCTGGTCAGGATTCTGGCTGCTGAATTTTGGACATACTGCAGTTTGTTCAAAATAGATGTAGATACCCCAGAGAGTAAAGCATTACAGTAGTCAATTTGAGAGAACACAAATTTGTTGATCAGCTTTTCAGCCACAGTTAGTGATTGCACAGGGCGTAGTCTAACAATATTTCTGAGGTGAAAAAAATATGGTTTGACAATATGCTATACATGTGGGTCGAATGTTAAGGCAGAATCTAATATCACCTCAAGGTTTTTCAATTTAGACTGAAGCTCAAGTACAGAACTATCTACAGATAGGGTTACAGGACTGACTTTATGAAGTTGATGGGGGGTGCCAATAAGCATGAAGTTCAGAAGTTCAGATCATCACAGTAAAGATCAAGGAAATTTTGAGTCATCCAATTTTTTATGTCAGAGATGCAATCAGATAGAATAGAGAAAGCCAGTGTCAGGTTTGGTATGGCTGTATATTTGATTATCATCAGCATAGAAATGATAGCGGAGCCATGTTATCTTAAAAGCTGACCAAATGGAAACATGTAAATGCGGAACAGCAAGGGGCCCAGTATTGAGCCCTGAGGAACACCAGACTTAACAAGACTAATTTCAGACCTATACTCATTAAGAGAGACAAAGTGACAGTGATCAGTGAGGTAAGACCATTTGAGAGCAGTGTCAGAAACTCCAAACACAGTCTCAAGATAAGAAAGTAAGATGTCATGGTCAACAGTGTCAAAAGCAGCACTGAGATCAAGAAGGATAAGTATAGAAAGAGAACCAGAATCAGGGAAGTTTCTGTGCTGTGAAGTTGATGGAAGCCAGATTAGAGGGGTTCGAAAAGGTTTTTTGTCATGAGGTGGTTATGTAACTGTAGCGGCGAGGCTTATTAATAAGAAAGAATTAAGTGTTCTGAGCCTTCCCAAATGAGGCCCCATTTCTCTGTTCATCTCTGTGGT